TGTGTGATGATGTTCATGTGCTTGAGAAAAGGGAAGAAAGTATGAGGAAGTTGATAAGTGTTTGAATTTTTGACAATAGGTTTTAGGTCTTAATGGTTTTATTTACCCAATTTACTAGTCAAATGCTCTATTAATTTCTTTGGTTTCACAATCTCATGTTATAAAAATTCCTTACCTTTCCTTAGCCACATTACAACCTACCGAAAAGTCCTTTTGATTTGTGTTATGCATGTGATCTAAGTAGTGGGGAGTTAAGATGATGAGCAAGCCTATGGTAGTATAATTTTATGGAATGAAGTTGAGTGACATACTTGCCCTAAACACTTAAGAGTTTGAGAGTTTATCTTGTGAGGGTCTACCAAATTAGTTTACTCTATTTTGAAAGAAATTACAATATTGATTGATTTTTAAGTTGTTGAGATAATTGATTCATAATGTGTTATCAATCTTGAAGATTTTTATTGCCTTTGTGTTTATCACTTTACAAATTGTGATATCATTAAAGAATGTTTATACATGCATAAAATTTATATAAAGATTTTATGGGTATACCTTCTAAAAACCCTCACGAGACATAACTCGTCCACTATAGGTGACCTAAGTGGTTTAAAGGCTTATTGCATATGCTAAATGCAATCATGATTTCTACGAAAGTGAGTTAGAATGTATTTAATTTCATGTAGTTAGTTTAGTTTCCTTTGCCAAGGACATACAAAAGATCAAGTGCGGGGGAATTTGATAAGTATAATTTATACGTATATTTTATGTAAACTTGGAGCTTGAATTTGTTAATTATGCATGTAATTTATGTTTCATTTGATATAAATTCATTCCCATGTACTTTAAATTTGTAGGTACAAAGAATTAAGAGAAGACTAAAGAAGTAAGGCAAAAATAAGGATTGAAATGAAAATAAAAATGAAAAGCAAGGATTAAATAGTAAAGAGAAAACAAGTGTTTGACTTGGACACTACAAAAAGCCATTCATCCTATTCTATAGGGACACTTACATGGTGGACTAAAAGGAAAAAGTTTTAGGCATAAAAGAGATGGAGAGAGAGACGACCGAGGGGAAGAAAAATAAAGAAATAGGAAGTTGTACCGAGAAAGCTAGAAAGCAAAAGAAAGCGAATATACATGGATAGAGGAAGATTTATGGAGTTGCATGACACTAAAAAAAACAAAGAAGGCTTTAGCACGATAGTATAAAAGAAATCTTTTGCATGGCGGTAAGGATGTTTTTTTTTTTGGCACTTGCACTACAGAAAGAGGATTGGATGGCTAAAGAAAAGAAGGAAACCTGGAGACGACAAACTAGAAGAAAAAGACTATAAAAGCATACGCATTCATTAGAAAAGTAATTGAATTTTCTTTAATTATTACTCCGATGGATTATTGATGTGATATTTTATTTTCGGATCTAATAAATTTCTTTATGGAGAGATAAACTCGTCAAGTTAGGGATGGATGATTTTAATTCTTATTTTATGTGATTTATTATTTTTCTCAACTCAAAACCCGATTCTTGATATATGATGAATTTATAATGTTGCTTTTAATGCTTTAAGAGAGTGATCACCTTTTATTGATTTAATGACATGTGCTTAAGCTTGAGAAGGAATTGTATATGTTAGATCAAAACAATATAAATCATTAGTTTACTATTAATCAAAAGATAACTAGTTCCAGTGCAATAATGGAAAAGAGAGGTGCGTGATGGCATGCTTATTTTACATTAGAGGATTCCATTGATTCTAATGCATTTAGATCTTAATTTAAGTCACATAGAAATATGGATGATTTATTAGGTGAATAATAAGGTTAATCCGACTAGAGATAACTTATTAACTTGTTCGGGGAATTTCGTCGTTACATATATTAAGATAGACTTTAAGGTGATTTCGTGAGTCGAGTTAATATAGTTAATTGCATAAGTTAGAATTCAATGAATCTATCCCTAGCCGCTTTCATATCATCTTCTTAGTAATTTTCAATTCCGCAAATTTAGAATAGAGTTTTAATTTAATTTTTATTCTTTTAATTGTTTTGATTAATTCAACTTATTCTAATTTAGGTAATTTTAGTAAGTGCAATTTAATTCCTCGTGGGAACGATACTTTCTTACCCTTTATTGCACGATTAGATTGGATTTATTGCTTTTCCGATTGTGTTAAAAAGGAAGTTACTCGATGTATTTCTCTTCTTATCTTACTTTCCTCAAATGTAACTCAAGGTTTCTTATTCAAAAAAAATATAAAAGTAGAAGATAGGATATTAGAATAAATACAAGGAGAAGAAGTCAAAAAGAAAAGACAATCTCAAAGAATTGGTAATAATTTTTCACCTTAGTACTTAACCCACTAGTCTCCTTCTAACTTGAAGGGGACTAGTAGTAGAGATCCATTACCATTCATCGATCCTAGAGTCATGCATGACATGTATGTATTTATTATGTGATTGAAAGTATGCATAATAGGATTAATGCAATTAGTAACTAATATGCATGGTAGGATGAGGCTTACCATATTAAATCATTCAAATTAATATTAAGTTAATTGCCCTCATTTATTATAAGGAAAGAACTCTCTTAGTTGTTGACTTCCTAAGATAACTCAAGATCATTTCTTCCTTGACGTAATCAAATCATTAGCCATGTAATGTCTCCAAATGTTTGAGTCCAACATGACATAAATTATTAGGCTTATTCGGATAACTCAAGGCCTAACGAATTTATAGGTTAAGATTGCTATTTTATAAGATGTGAGATGATAATGAGATGTCATGCTAATGAGATTAGAAATCAAATTGGATACAATTGGCAAGGAGTTACCTACCTAATCCTTCATGTATGACTTTTTAAGATAACTCAAGGTTAATGCATGTTAGAAGATGAGATCCTAACCCACTAAATAAAATGAATTGAAAAGTTTTATCGAGTTTTATTTTGAAGGTTATGGAAATTGAAGAAAATAGTGAGAACGAACATAGATTTTACTCCTTAATTTATGCTTTACTTTATTTATACAATTCAATTAACAAATTGTATGCTTTTCTATCCTATCATGGTTATTTCATAGTATGATTGGCAATACATTGATGCAATCGATGATTGATAAAAGTAATACCTTGAGTTCCATAAACTTTCTTGACTGAAAATAAATAAGAGGAATGTCCTCTTACATGAAAAAATACCTTATTCGATAGAGGATAATGGTTCCTTTGAGGAGGTGCAAAAGAAGAGTTCTAAATGCACCTCAAGTTTTTTTGTTATTGAACTATGTACTTTTGGTTCTATATCATGGGTATTTGATATTGGATGTTTTCGTTACTTGACATCGGATGAGACTCTTAAAAAATAATTCAAGTTTTTAGAGATTTCGCATCTCGTTTGGGTGTTATTCTAGGGATATGAGTTATTATCTAGTTTGAAATTACCACCTAGTGTTAAGGAACAAAGAACCTAAAAGTAGCATGGGTTCGTAGATTCTATTGCAAGGATTTGGCTATGCTTTTGGAAAAATATTTAATCATCCAAAAGTGCCCTTTTCGAAAAAAGGTACCATATGTAGTTTAGTACTAAATTCATCTCTTAAAATATTTTATTTATGCCAAATTATTTTTTAATTTTAAACTTTAGTTTTTAAAGCCAAATTAAGTTTTTTAGTTTTAGGTGCGGCATCTTATTGAAATGATCGTTGGTCCATTTCATCGAACGACGTGTTGGTTCAAACATCAAATCCACTTTAAGCCTTGACATAACCAAGGTGTGTCGGAGAACATCTTGATTATTAGATGATGATTTTTGGTAACGACAGTTCCTATCGGATAGGAAACTTCATTGAGAATTTTTGTTATCTTTATTTTTTAGTCAAACGGTAGTCCCTATCAAATAGGAGACTTCATTAAGAATTTTCATCATTTATTATTTCTTTTATTATTTATCATTAATTGATTATCATAAGTCCCTAAACATTAGGAGACTCGATAATCTCAACCCATTAATCACCTATTCTAAGTACTAAAATAAATTTAAAGTGTATTAATTAAATAAACTATAGAAAATTCAAATTAACATTAAATTTAAATTAAACATAAAATAAAAAATATGTAAAATAAAATTGAGAATTAATCTACACAAATAAAGTTACTGCCTTATGCTTTTTTTATTGATCAATCGGCCTTCGATCTATAGAGCTTGGGCTATTAGATAGGCTAGCCTTTGTTTTTATTTTTTTAGGCGTGGCCTAGCCTTGGACATATGGGCCGAACAAATACAATCCTCGCTCATGGGCTGGACAAGTCTAGCCTATTTCCCTTCATTTTTAACAACAAAGAAAAATACATCAATTCTAGTGACCTCCAAGTCTTTTCCATTTTATTTTTAACAAAAGCAAACCATTGAAACTAACAAACTCAATCCATAAGACCTCCCAATATCTCTATTAATGATAAACCTTGTGTTAGTCACTTATCTAAAGTTAACGAACACATCCTTGAGAGTTTGATCATCACCGACCATGAAAGCCTTCTAATGTAAAGCTTTGTTGAATATATTTAGTGAACAAAGTTCAACATGGGTGTCGTTGGAGTTTTCCCAAGTTGAGAAATTGACTACCTCACTAGGCTCTCAATTTGGTTATGGAAAGCCATTTCAATAGTTAATTTTGAAGAAGAAAAGGGGAAAAGGGTTTTAGTTTTAAGAGAGAATTAAATGAATGAACCAACTAGGATTTGAGAGGTGATTAGGTATTTATGTTTGATTAAGACTTTGGTATTTTAAGGCTATGAAGGTGGGTGATGTTAATGGATCGTAGCTTTAGGAGGTGTGCATGCCAAATGTTTGTGTTTTTATCTATGAGAGGTAGAGAGGTCATTTCGTGTATGGAGAAGGACAATTACGATGGATAATATGGTGTTGTTTTTCTTTGAGTGGAAGTTTGGTGACCGTAAGGGAGACTTAGGTGAAACTTGGTGGCTATGGTGATCTTTGGGCAATGGAGGAAAAGGACCATTAAGTCGGCATTGTGGGAATGGCCGGGAAGCTATAAGAGGGGTTGATGACTACGAGGTCAGGTTCGTCGTGATATGGGTTTGGAACCGCGGGCGTTGCCTTGGCTTGCAGCCGCATACGCGAGGTTGTGGCAATATGGGCTATTATATGCAAAGGGGTTGCTGCAAGAGCAGACCTCGGCTAGAAGGAAAGGCTATTCTATGTGGGAAGTTTGTGGCAACTAAAAGTTGCTATAAGGGGGTGTTTAGAGGTTACGAGGGTCGCTTAATATGCCGGGGTTTTTTGAGAGAAATTGAGTTTTTAAGAGGATGAGATGCGAGAGAAGAGTGAATTAATGGAGATGATGGTCGCTAGGCTTTCTTCCTCTTTACATTTTTTGCTCCCTAGGGTTTTTTAGGTTTTAAGAGGATAGGTAGGGGAATTTTAGAGGCTCCCTTTGTGGTTGCCTCTCAAACATCTAGAACATGGTGGCTTTTATAGGAGAAATTTAGTGTTGAGAGGAATGAGTATTTTTCTTTCCTCGTTTTGTATTTTTTAGTATTTTGAATTATATATATATTGTACTTTTTTTATTTATTTTTAGTTTTTATAGTAAATTTCAAAAGAAAGTAAAATGAGGTAAAATAAAATCAAATAAATGAGATATAATTAAAATAAAAAAATATAGAAAAATTTTGAGTTATTACAATCGCCTCTTCTTTATAATGCTTATGGCATAAAGTCAAATGAAAAATATGTTTTTCATTGATTTCGTATAATAAGCTTGTAAAGAATTTTTATTTATTTATTTATTTATTTATTTTTGTTCTAGCTTGCCTTCCTAGAAAAATAAACATATGATAAAATGATCTTGTTATGGAGGATGACTTGTCCAAAAAATGAAATATGCATTACATTAGTATATTGTTAAGGCGACTCTATCTTAAAAAGGTAAATATATAGTACATGGCTTTGTTGTCATGGGTAGCATACCAAAAAATTAAATTTATAGTACATGACTTTATTGTCAAAGGCAACCTACTTTAAAAATTAAACAAGCAATACATGACCTTTTATCAAGGGCGACCTATCCTAAAAATTAGATGTGCAATACATGATCTTGTTGTCAACGTTAGCCTACCCAAAAAAATTAAATATGTAGTACATGGCTTTTTGTTAAGGGTAGCCTACCTTAAAAATTAAATATGCAATACATGGCATTGTTGTCAAGGGTAGCCTACCCTAAAAATTAAACATACCATACATTGTTTTGTTGTCAAGGGCAGACCTACCGGTTAGTGTTAAGTGCCAAAGGTCCAGCCATGTTTGGATGGGCCCAAGTTAAAAAATTATTGCATCATTTAATAAAGACATCATTATATCAACTCTTATGTTTACATGTTGGTAAATTCATTAGAGTTAGATAAAAGTCCTTATGATATGCATTTGTAATAGTGATTGATCGAAAGATGTGAGATACACACTAATGGAGATAAATGATATCATTAAATGTCCCAAGTTAGTAGCAATGTTGAGAATGGACATTGACAAATACGGATAGACTTGTGAGTGCTATGCTCATGCTATATGATAGCAGTAGGAGATCTCACACCTATTGGCATGGTGATACCAAAGCAAGCATTTAGTTGATTTATGTTAGAGAATATGTCACTAGACTTGACTCGCCATAAGAATCCACTTTGTTTTAGCCTATGGAAATCTCATACGAGATGGGTACAAATAGTCCTTAGACTTACAAGTCATCATAATTATCTCATTGGATGACTTATGCATTTTGACACTTGTTTCGATAGACCCATTAGTGGGTTGGATGTGGGCGATTCGTTGTGTGTACTAAGAATCCAATGGAGATAGGTGTATGACTAGGATAGAACATATCATTCCTTGTATGCTAAAGGATTTATCACATTACACTTCAATAAATGTTTGCTTAAGAAATATTTGGCCACCGTAGGAGTACACCAATAGAGCATAGTTGGTTTACTCTAAGAGCTAAAACATTTAGCAATAAAAAAAAACTTATGTGATCATAATTAATCAAGACTAATAACCAAGTTTGAGATCACATTACGGTAAGTTGACATGAGAACCGAATTATATGGTAACCATGCTCGTGAAAGGTAATAATGGATTAACTAATCCTCCTAAAGAATTGGATAGGCATGATGTCTTACTAGAGGCTAATCTTGATTTATGTATCAAAAGATTACGGAGGAGTCCTTTATTCTCGATACATTGCCAACATATCTATGAGCCTATTGAGTCACACGCATAACTTTAAGTATTCACATTACAAATGAGAAGGAAAGATATTGAAATTTTTTTCCTATTTTTGAATGAGTTTCCAAAATGAAAAGTTTTCTATTTTAGAAATCGATTTTCTAATTTAGAAGTTAGTTTCAAATTTGCAAATAAAGAACCTAAAAGGAAAGGAGTTATAGTTATAAAACACAAGTCCAAAACATTTAAAATGTTTAAAAGTTTAGACTTGAAAAGTCATGAGATGAACTAGTAAGAGTTTTAAAGCATCTCGATTAGATCAAGGAGCTGAATACTTAAATGCTAAAATGTTATATCATTTAAAAGAGAATGAGATTCTCTATGGACATCACATTTTAGACTTGATCGATCCATGATGAGTCAAATTAATATCCCTAATTATGAATGAATACTCCTTACTATAACCTTTAAAATGAATAAGATTCTAATCTATTGAAGATAGATCACATATGAGATATGGAAAGGGAAGGAAAATGAATTAATCTTCCCTTAAAGATTTAAGACTATAAAATATACATCAAAGGGTTTGACAAAGACAAAATGAAGCCTAAAATTAATAAAGTGTTAGATTGTGAGATACCCCGTAGTAAGATTAGGATGTAAATATCTTACCACTAGAACAAAGTGTTTTTCCCTATCGAGCATGTTGTCTTCCTTGAGAAGGAATTTATTGATGCTAGAAATAGTGGGAGGAAATTTAAACTCAATAAGATTTGAATAGACTCACAAATTAACACCGTAATAACGAAATCCTAAAGTAAGATGATTACAAAAAGTTGTAACTCTCTCACAAATAAAAACACAAGAATTTCAAAAGTTCAAAGAAAATTTGTTAAAAAAGACAAAAGAGATATGATCTTTTTGTCTTAACACATTCCGATGGGAGCCCTAAAAGGGACAACGAAGCTAATACTTTTGAAATGGCAATGTTAGATATTGATACCTATAAAAGGTAAATAAAAGGGATATGTAGTTGATACACTCTAAAAGTTTCCAAGAACATGCATATAAGATTTGCAAAAGGCTAAGGTTCATTAATAGACGTAAGCGACCTCTCTAGGAATATAAATCCATGTTTTATGGAATGATCAAAAAGTTTGATTATTCATCCAAACAAAGATGAACCTTGTGCATATAAGAAGATAGTGGGAGCCTACTAAGTCATGGTTATTCGACACAAAATCACACCTTAACTATAATATTATTATGCCGCAAATAAAAGATTAAGGAATTTAGAAGAAATTTCCCAAAGATGGCATGTGAGAGAAACCTACGATCTAAGAGTATATATCTATAAAGATAGATCACTTAGAATGTGAGGAGTCTCCCAAGGTAGTTACAATGACATGATACTAAAAGGTTTAGTTTGAAACAATTAAAGAAGGTTTTGTTCCAATGTCATACAGACTTAATGACCAACAACAAAGGATTCATAGCACAAGCGAAGGAACCAAGGTCTTATCAATGGTCCAAGTATGTACTATAATACTATCACTTGATTATAGGGATAAAAGGGTCATGGTAGCATAAGGATATAAAAAGAACCACACTACAATAACATAGTTGACCCCACACTAAGCCCTCTCGTTAGTTTTTGTGCCCAAGATATAACCATGTTTGGATGGATCTAAGTTAATGTATTATTGCATCATTTAATAAAGAAGTCATTCTATCAACTCTTATGTTTACATGTTGATAAATTCATTAGAGTTAGATAAAAGTCCTTATGATATGTATTTACAATAGTGATTAATCGAAAGATGAGAGACAAACACTAATGCACATAAATGATATCATTAAATTTCCCAAGTCGTAGCATTATCAACAATGGACATTGACAAATGCATATAGACTTGTGAGTGCTATGCTTATTCTATATGATAGTAGTAGGAGAACTCACACGTATTGGCATGGTGATGTCAAAGTAAGCGCTTAGGTGATTTAGGTTAGAGAACATATCGCTGGACTTAACTCACCATGAGAACCCACTTAGTTTTAGTCTATAGGAATCTCACATGAGATGGGTCTAAATGGTCCTTAAACTTTAAGTCATCACAGCTTATCTCATTAGAGGACTTATACACTTTGACACTCGTTTCGATGGACCCATTAAATGGTTACAAGTGGGCGATTCATTGGGTGCACTAGGTATCCAATAGAGATAGGTGTATGACTAAGATAAAACATGTTATTCCTTGTATGCTAAAGAAGTTATCATATTGTACTTCAATAAATGTCTACTCAAGAAATCTGTGGCCATAGTAGGAGTACACCAATAGAGCATAGTTGGTTTACTATAAGAGCTAAGACATTTGAGAATTGAAGAAACCTTGTGTGATCATAATCAAACAAAACTAATAACTAAGTTCAAGATCGACTATGATAAGTTGACTCGAGGGCTGAATTGTATAGTAACCATGCTCGTGAAAGGTAATAATGGATTAACTAATCCTCCGAGAGAATTTGATAGTCATGATGTCTTATTAGAGGCTAATCTTGATTTATGCATCAAGAGATTAAAGAGGAGTCTTTTATTCCGGATACATTGCCAACATATCTAGGAGCCTATTGAGTCACGCGCATAAGTTTAAGTATTCACATTACAAATGAGAAGCAAAAATATTGAAAAAGTTTCCAATTATAAAAGTTTTCTATTTTGGAAAGAGTTTCCAAAATCAAAAGTTTCAAAAAATGGAAATTTTTCTATTTTAGAAATTTTTTTTCGTAATTTAGAAGTTAGTTTTAAATTTGAAAATAAAGAACCTAAAGCGAAAGGGGTTTCCTAATTTAAGTTAAAGGGTACTTTAGAAAATTGCTTCTAATATGGATGCTCGTCAAAATAATCTAAAAATATTTATTTGGATAGTCCAAATAAATTAATTAGGCTAAAATAGTTTTTACCCATTAGATTTAATTAAAAAGCTTAAAGATAATTTTGGTAGGAAGATAAACATCAATCTTATTGGATAAGGTTGAATGTTTTAAAAGATAATAATCAAGTAATTCATATATAAAATAACTCCTCATCCTTA